AATTAAATTTATTTGACACTAAAATTAATATCAATTTTTATATTTTATATATATATTTATTATAAAAAAATACTCTTAAATACAGGTTAGAAAAATCCTATGTCATTATATAATTAAAAAATTTTAACATTTTAACGACGCTGCTTTATTTATTCTGGGACCAGTAAAATGTTTCATGCAAGGCCCGAAATGGAAGTGGGCTTGGCCTTCTTCCACATCGAAGCATATTAACCCAGCGCAATACCCAACCCAGAACAAAACACGCGTCTAGAAACAGGTCCATCACACGACACGTGGCCAATCACAATTTTCCATCTCCCGCCACGGCGCAAAAAATATTAAATGAAAAAAACCAAACAAAAATATTCCCTCCTCCTCCACCCTGCTTCTCCATCCATCTTACTCGACAAGCTTTTGCTTCCAAAACCAAACACTCCTTCCTTTTTATCCCTTCTCCTTCAACCCACACTCTCAGAACTGAATTTCCAATTTCCAACACCCCTCTTTCTTCCCCAATTTCATCATTTCTCCTCAACCAAAATCTCTCTTTCTCTATTTTTAACCCAATTTTATCTCACAGATAATTTAGATCTAATGCCGGAAACCGATTCTCCCCCCAAAACGTTTCTCGGCATCCGTTTCTTTCTCCTCGGATTCGATCCCGTCAGGGAAAATGAGGTTTCTCAAATCTCCCTCCTTCTCTCGTTTTTTTTTTTTTTTTTTTTTTTTTTTTTTTTTTTTGTTTTTGTACTTGACTGATCTTAATTTCTTAATATATATAATATGTTGTAGTTCTGCAGTTGGGGTGCTTATTGGCTTGTAAATTGGATAATTTTAGATTTTTTTTTTCTTTTGTTCTGAAAATTTTCAGGTTCGGTCGAAGCTTATTGACGGCGGCGGTGTGAGCGTCGGTCAGTACAACGACAGTTGTACGCATGTGATTGTTGACAGGATTATTTATGTAAGTCTTTTCCCATGTTTATTTATTGATTTCCTTCTTTTTATTTGTTAATTTAAGCAAATTGTTTATGCTTGATTCTTTATATGAGAAATTGAGAGAGGTGCTGTAGATTTTTTTTTTTTTTTAGGAATTTTTATTATTTAGTGTTTATTGGTGAAATCCATTTTCGAATGTACTGCAGGATGATCCTGTATGTGTTGCTGCTCGGAAAGATGGCAAAACCCTTGTCACTGGATTATGGGTTGACCACAGTTTTGATATTGGAATGCCTTGTGATGCCACTCCGGTGAGTTCTGCTGACAGATTCTTCTTCAAAAATAGAATGGGCGTAGATTTGGGCTCCTAAAAATTGTGATGAATCATATTGGGCATTGGGATGGTAGCTAAAGAGTCAGCTAAAGAAATTTTCCAGCATGAAATGAAGATATAATAAGGTTATCAATGTAGAACTTTGTGGTTGTCCCTGGTTCTCAAAGAGACTATTTTACTACTAGCCCTAGAATTTTTTATTTCTCTTCATTTCTTGGTAACTCTAGTATATTGCTTGCATGGATGCCTGCAAAGGTTGAAGTTGAACATTCACAGTTGTTTTTGCACAGATTATGTACAGACCTCTTAGAGATTTGAATGGTATTCCGAGTGCCAAAAGTCTAATTGTGTGTTTGACTGGTTATCAGAGACACGAACGAGACGACATTATGGTATGGATCCTTATTTCAGGGTTTTGAAAAGAGTCTGTTGTGGTTTTTTTATTTGAGTATAAAACAATAATTCTGTAAAAATTTTCGTTTTTTGATTCACAGACGATGGTTGGCTTGATGGGTGCTCAATTTTCCAAGCCACTAGTGGCAAACAAAGTCACTCATCTTATATGCTACAAATTTGAAGGTTTGATTTCTCTCTTTACATTCTCAGCCATTCTCATGTGTTAAACTTGTGGATATTCAACTTTGCATAGAAATCAAAATATGTAAGCTGAACCAAGAGAAACTCTCTTGGACTTGCCAATCTGATCTATATATTACATATTATTGCCAATCAGGCCGTTGTTACAGCAGGGACAGGGCGCCTCCAATTTTATTTTATCATTTATTGATTTCTTGCATGATAAGAGATTTTAAAACTTTTAAGTATGTCCTAATGAGCAGCCCTGGAGTTATATTTTGATGGAGTTTGTGAATTTTTATAGGTGAGAAGTATGAGCTTGCCAAGAAAATGAAGAGGATAAAGCTTGTCAATCAACGGTGGTTGGAAGACTGGTGTGTTCAGTTTCCTACTTTCTGGAAAACAAAATGGTTATTGATAAAAGTTATTTTAAATCTAAAATACAATCTTGCTAATGACCAAAAAGTAAATGTAATATTTTTCTGTTCATGCCATCTGCAGTTTAAGAGATTGGGAGCTTCTTCCTGAGGCTGATTATAACCAGAGGTGAGCATATATATCAGAATTGTCATCTCTGTACACTGTTACATAGCTGATTACCCGATGTACTTTCATATTTCAATCAGTTGCCTCATAAACATTTCATCTAGAAAAATTTTTATTCCTTGGTGGATTAATATCCTACGTATCCGAAAGTCCATCTTTTAACAGCTGTCTAATAACCTGTGGTTTTCTTATTGTCTTTATTTGCCCCAATAAATCCTTAATTTTTTGTAATCCCTTCCTCTTCTTTACAGTGATTATGAGTTAGAGATGATGAAAGCTGAAGCTAAAGATTCTGATGAAGAGGCTGGAGAAACGGTGATAAAGCAATCTGCAGAAAGAAATATTAGGAGTCCTCATGATTTAAAGGTCAGAATGCTGAGTGCCACTGAATTGCCCAAATCAGCAGTCGAGTTGCCAAATCCCACTTTGCCTGAAGATCCATTATTAAATACTATAGCCAAGGAAACCTTTTTGACTCCAGGCAAATTGAACAGATTATCCCCAAGCCTCAATAGTGTGCAGCTTTCTGAGACACATGGTTGTCAAGAAACTGGTGCTTCTGGGAAAGTTGCTTCTGTTGAATTTCCCGTACAACACCTGGAAAGCCCAAATTCTACAAGGATAGAAATGAACCTTGTATCTACCACTAAAAAAGATGAGAAGTGCTTTCCTAAGGCAGAGTTTACTGCTATATACTCCAGGAAAACACAGAAAAAATCTACACTCCCTGGTTTCTCAGGACAGACATCAGGAAATACAAGTGGGTCTCCTAAAGCAATGGGATGTAAGGATGCTTTTGATTGTTATTCCCCTGCAATGCAGAAGGCAAAAACCCTATTCAGCACTGGTTGCATTGAATCTCCTTTCAAAGGAAGTAGTCTTTATCAGGGAGACGACTCAGCTGGTATTTTGCCTCAGAAAAGAATGATAGATGCTTCTGCCCCAAGCTCCAAATCACAGAAGACAACTCACAATGCAAAAGCAATCATCATGAGAAGTCCTGATCTGAATGTTGCACATAAATCTAGTGCGACCATTGCGAAAAAGCCCTCAAGTGCTGGTGAGAAGTCAAATAAAAATGATTTGACTTCCTTTCTGGCTGCAAATGTAGAGAAGGGGCAAAATGAGAATGCTGAGAAGTCACCAATGTCCTGCAGGAAATTTAGGGAGTCCAATTCAGCAAGCAAGTCCAGTTTTGAAAATTTTGGCATGGAAGGATCTTCTGATGTTGTTGGGGAGCCTGTGGTCACAGAAAATAAGAAGCAGGATTTTAAAGATTCCTCCCCAAGTTGCATGAAACCGGAGATGGGGGTATCCCATAACCCTGCAAACTTGGATTCAGTTGGAGGAAGTAATAAGTTGGGTGGAAAACTGCCTAGGACAAAGATGCTTGCCAAGAAGACCTTGGGTAGACCAAAGGCGAGTAATATTTCTAAAAGTAAATGCTCCATCTACTCCAACAAAATTGCATCTGAAAACAATCCTGCAATTTGCTTCAATGAGAATAAGGAGAGAGCAGCTTGTAGGAGTGGAAATGAAGAAGCATCCACCTCAACAGTTAGTAATGATGCAGTCAAAGAGATGGTGACAAAAACTGTTGAGAATGGTGCAGCTAATGATTTTGAATTCATGGATGCTGAAACTGAGGCTCCAAATGAGAAAGACAAACATGATTTTGAGGAGACTTTTAATGAAGAGAAGTCTGAGTTTGTTGATTCGGTACATAAAGCATGTAAGGCAATGGAATCAGAACATTCAAGAGATCACTCCAGGGCTGCTATGCTAAAGGATATAGTAAGCTCAGAAAATGCAGCTGGAACCGAGCTGGAGAGTTCAATCTCCAATAAGAAAACTAAATTACGGCCCAAAAAATTCAAGACAACCAAACAGGGTGAATCAACGTCTCCAACAGAATTCATGAATGATGAAACTAGAGCTCCAGATGAGAAACACAGACATGATCTTGAGAAGGCATTTAATGAAGAGAAGTCCAAGTTTGTTGATTTGGCACATAAAATAGATAGGATCATGGAAGCCAAACATTCAAGAGATAACTCCAGGGCTCCTATGCATGAGAATATAGTAGCATCAGAGAATGCAGCGAATGGAACCGACCTGGAAACTGCAATCTCCAACAAGAAAACCAAATTGGGTGATTCAACTTCTCCAAAATATTCATCAGAAGGGAAAACAAAGCAAGTGCGGAAACGACTCTCAGGTGAAGGCAAGAATAAAGCTGTTCCTGCTAAATCAAAGAAAGATTTGGTTGCAGAAGAGACTCAGGATGGGAAGAACCTTAAGGAGGATGAAAAGGAAAATTTTATTCCACATCATGGGGACAAAAATAATGGCAGCAATGCTTCTGCAAATGAGTTGGAGAACTCCATCGAAGAGGAGAATAGGCCGGTTCTGGATGTGGATCAAAATCCAAGAGTTGGGGAAACAGCTGCTGGTAAATTAGTGACAAAATTAAAAAAGACACCAGTCAAGGGTGATAAAATTTCTGGGATCAATTCTAAAACATTGCCTGCACAGGAGGTTTTGAACCGGGTGAAAAGTGAACCCATGTGGTTTATATTGAGTGGGCATAGATATCAAAGAAAGGAATTTCAGCAAGTAATTAAGCGATTGAAAGGAAGGCGTTGCAGAGATTCTCACCAGTGGTCATACCAAGCAACCCATTTCATCGTCCCAGAACCAGTTCGCAGGACTGAGAAGTTTTTCGCTGCAGCTGCATCTGGCAGGTACCAATACCCATCAACTTTTTGAAAGTTTGCACATTTCTGGAAGTTGCTCCAGCTCCCTCTCATATTCACTTCTCAGTGATGTCAGGAACTTAAGCTGTTTATCTTGAGATGATCATTATTCTTTGTCACCAAAAAAAAAAAAAAAAAGTGTAGCAATTTTACTCTTCAGTCTTTGCGATGGGTGGTTGAATTTGATTTTCTCCCAATGCAGGTGGATTCTTAAGTCTGATTATTTAAGTGCCTGCAGCCAGGCAGGAAAGTTCCTGCCGGAGGATTCTTATGAGTGGCATGAGAATGGCCTTAGTGAGGATGGTGCTATAAATTTAGAAGCTCCTAGAAAGTGGCGTCTCTTAAGGGAGAGAGCTGGCTATGGTGCTTTCTATGGAATGCGCATTGTTATACATGGAGAGTGCATTGCACCTCCCTTGGTATGTTTTTTAATATTTGTTTGTTACCATTCCCTTTCTAATTATAGTCTGTAAAATCATTTGCCATAAACATTCTTGCACTGATTCCCTGAACTCATGATTCTGTGACTTTGTTTTATATCTTCTCTTAATTCTCTGCATCTTTCTGTTCATCAACCAGGATACTCTGAAGCGTGTCGTGAAGGCTGGAGATGGTACCATACTAGCAACTTCTCCACCTTACACCCGATTCCTCAAATCTGGAATTGACTTTGCAGTTGTTAGCCCTGGCATGCCGTGTGACGACATCTGGGTCCAAGAGTTTTTAAAGCATGAGATACCTTGTGTTACAGCTGACTACCTAGTAGAGTATGTCTGCAAGCCCGGGTATCCTCTTGAGAGACATGTACTCTACAATACCCAAGCATGGGCGGAGAAGTCCTTTGCTAACTTGGTAAGCCGAGCAAATGAGACTGTTCAGGACTTGTGCACCCCACCAGATAATCATCAAAGCCATGACATAGCTTGCCAAGTTTGTGGTTCTTATGATAGAGGAGAGGCCATGCTGATCTGTGGTAAAGAAAGCGGCTCTCTTGGTTGTGGGATTGGCACTCATATTGATTGTTGCAATCCTCCTCTGGAAGCTGTTCCGGAGGACTGGTTTTGCCCGGAGTGCAGTAGTGAAAGCAGAAACAACCTGAATTCTTCCAAGAAAAGGAAGAAAGGGAAAGGGACACCTACATCCAAGCACTGAGTGGTATTCCTGGCGTACATTGTGAGTATAAAACTACAGCCAGATCTTGTAGATTTCATACAAATTGATCCAAGTTTTTCTTTTTGTCTTAAATTGGTCCAAGTTGAAACTCGAAAGTGGAAGTTCTACTTCTATAAAAAAAAAAAAAATAATCCCTGATCAAATTATTGTAGTTTTTACCATTTTCAATGGTAATGATATTTAAGGATAATTTCTACGATAATCATATATTCAGGTGTTAAAGTGTGGAACCGTTCCCAGAGTAACATTTCTCAAAAACTGAGCTAGAGCCACTGGGCCTGTTTGGAAAGACTCGTTGAAAGTAGGTTGGGTTCACCAATCACCCCAAGCCCAAATGCATATTTTCTACAAGGCTTGCTAATTTTCTTGTTGCTTAGCGAAGACACTGCTGGGCGTATTTAAAAATACTGTAGCGTTACGGGAGTGTACTTTGTTAGGTTGTGCTGTTGATGTAGATTGTCTTTTTCTATTTCAGAAATATATAGAAAAAATTGTTGTGCAGAACCTTGCCGAAAATTAATTATTTAAATAGTTCATAAGTAATATCTTCCTTTTGTTTTTTTTTTTTTTTTAACGTTAAAGATGTAATTCGAATTCCATACCTTTAAGTTATAGCATAAGAAGTCTTTTTACAAGAACGAGATGACGATTGAACCATAAAGATACTCTCATAAAAAATATCTTTTTAAAGTAATTTAAGAAAATTTCAAGGTATGTAAGTGGCAAAAATAAAATAATGATGATAATATAATTATAATGTTAAATTAAAATTATAAATTTGTAATTATAATGTGTTGTTAAATAAGTTAATAAACATAATATTACAAGTAGTTTTTGGAATGAAAATAGTTGATTACATAATAATATATTATGATTATAAATTTATAATACTATATATTATTGTAATTATATTATTTTTAATA